AAATTTCAATGGAGATGTGAAGTGAAACTCCATAAGTTGTTTATATAGCAAAGTTGTACTTCATTTGAGCAGTGATTTCCCCTATCTATTTCCCCACAAGACTGTTAAAACCTGTAAACTCTTTGAACTTTAATTTATATGGAGGTCATCACATTAAATTGCTAATGCATCTATCACCTCTTTTATCTATCACGCCAACTAATCACTCAATCCATACTTCCTTTTACTTATCTTATTGTCTTTTCATTAAATGAACACAACTAACTTATCTCATCAACTAAAGTGAAGGTTGAGTATCATGATTAACACAAGTATGGTTGTTTCACTGAATTTATTTTTCTTCCATGCTAAGGAGTTAAGGTTTGCAGAAGAACACAGATCCAACGGAGATTAACTGCAAATTTGCTCTAAATTTGGTGTGAAAAGATATTCATTCTCTGGCAAAAGAAACCAAGACTGTCATGTTAGAAAATGAGAAATTAAATCCACACATACCAATAACAAATCCATTGTACTCGATGATTGAATCGTCTGGTCTAGCATTTTCTCGCTTTTCAAACTCCATAGTGTATGACATTCCCGAGCATCCCCCTTGTTTAACGCCAATTCTAAGACACAAGTCCTCATTCCGATCACTCCTCATTTTATTCAAGTGCATTAATGCATTGTCAGTTAAGGAAATTGCAGGTGCTACTCCTCCAGATGCAGGTGCTGCTGCATATATCAGAACCAAAGCAACTTATCAGAGCCAAGAGAGATCGCCTGTAATAACGTCAACGTTGTGCTTTAACTATTACTTCAGCCTAACTAAAGGTGGCACGGTTTGTTTCTTGAAAGTAACTTTAACTATTTCTCACTCTGAAAAAAAAAGTGATTTAGTTATTCTAGATAAACTAAGTTAGAGTTCAAAAGGTCATATTATAAAAGACGTAAAACCCTGAAAGAAGATTATAACTAAAATACATCCTTTGTTAAAGTAAGAGCAATTATAATTTGGACAGAAGTAGAGTTCCGTTTAAGCTTCGTAAAATGTAAACATAATGTATGAATATTTCTCATATAGTATATACATTTTATAGTCGTAATCCATGAATATTTCCAAAGGTTATCTTGTGTCAAAAGAGGCTGCAGTAATTTATTAAAAGTTCATTTGACAAATGAGAATGTTCCATTCAGGCTCTACTCCCACATCCCAAAGTTTCTTGATGTTATTATTAGACTGTTTATATTCCCTGCTGTTAAAGTTAAGTGCCCTGAAAAGCACCACATGGTTTTCTTTCAATGAATGGAAGGTACAAACGCAGTAAAATCATCCTTGTTTTAAGCACAGAAGATATAAACAGACAAATACAAGCCTTGAGGCCCTTGACCTCCTTTATGATGGTTTTAGTGAGACATTCTGCTACCAGCCGTTTCATATCAACTTCCTCATCACTTCATTGACCCAAAATCCAATTTTCTTATTTTAGAATTGAGGTAACAGAAAAACCAGTTAAATTCAAACAAGGTGATCATAGCTGATCAATTCTTCCCAATTGCACTTAACCTTCTTTAAACAGCTTCTTATCTTAAATGATGGAAAGTGAAAAGAAAGCATATCATCTGAATCATCCTGATACACGTTTATGAAGCGAAACATTCAAATTCTCCCAAGCGTGTGCTACAGTATTCAAAAAGTTTGGTTAATCTGGAAACAGGTCATAGACCTTCCTCAAAGTACCTTGAACAGTTACTTTTCCAAAGAGTTCTCACATAATGTACACGTATTAATCTGACTAGATAGTTAAAACAATATTTGTGCATCTTTTCTATTATATTCAATTTTCATCTATATATTTTATATTTTAAATTTTCAATTTTTGATCTATTTCTAAATGTTATGTAAAAATTAGTGTTCTTCACCAGGAAAAATATCAAAGTATCTCGCTGAGAAGTTTGACTCGGACTACTCAAAAATCAGCCAAACAATCTCTCCTGAATTCCAGACTGTTTACAGGCACAGATTCACTTTAAAATGTCCAAACACTATCAAACCTAGGTACTTGTTTTTTCTCTTTCCAAAAGGGTAATGTTTATGTTAGCTAGTAACCAATCAAGTGACGAAAAGAGCCATCATGTACAGTCCATCTAGGAAAATACTTTCACAAATGACCTCTAAAGCAAGAAAAAAAAACTAATGTCATCCAATTTCAGCTATTGCAGTATATTACTGTCAGGACAATGTCTTAAACCCAAGTTTTCACACAACAACTATCATTTCCAAGGCTTATTTTGGGACAAATCACACCGTTCAAGGGTGAGATTTTAATTCAATAGAAATTTACAACGTATTCGCTACTAGCAACAGACAAAGCTCAGCTGCTCTTCATAGCTTACAAAAGTCCTCTTCTTTCTTCCTTCAAGCATAATCAATCAAAGAATTACAGCTTATATCCTTCGTATTTACTATAATCAACAAATCAACTACTCCTCAAACCCAAGATAGCCAATACAAATCTCCTATATCATTCACTATTCAGATAATATACCACAATTTAACTAATCTTAACTAATTCAACTCTAAGCATAAACACACCACAAATCTCCTCCTCTATCCTTCCAATCAATTATACTTAGCAAAACCCAAATAAATAGCGAAGGCATGGGTGGAGCTAGAGCAAGTCATACAGGTTCCGCAAAGTACAACCTTTTTTTCCCTACAAAATTCATTAAATATGTACAAATTATAAATTTAGAACTCACTAGAATCCCAAACTCATAAACTTTAAATCCTTACTCGGCTTTGAGAGAAGGTAAATAATTTACTCACCACTACAATTTTTCTCTCTACTCTTCTTCGATACAAAAAATAGCTCAATACCTACTCTAACAGAAACTAGAAAACCTATCCCCGTATAATTTTAACTACAAATCTAAAAATCTAAATCAAACATAAATTAAACAAACTGAAAAATCATCAAATCCTAAGCAATTTTGATTTCGTTTCAATTCATTGAACCAAAATTGAAGTAGGTAAACGATTACCTTCAAGTGTAGCAGATCGAATAGACAATGATTTTTTGCGATTAAAAAACGAAGGCGAAGATCGAAAGGAGATTGAAGAAGATGATTGAGGCAAAACGCTTGAAATTGTTGAATTCTTCGAAGGGCGGTGTAGAGAAGATGAACATCGAAGAGTTGCAGAGAACGCCATTGTTACCTGCAAATCACACAATTGATAATTTTTTTTTTTTAATTTTCAGTTCTATAATTTATTTATGGCTTATTCATACGTGCTAGTTGAATTGTGATCATTTTTGTCAATTTTATTTTTTGAGGTCTATATTTTAATGTGTGTAAGATATTTTGTATATCAAAAGCTTATTTTTTATTATAATTTGTTTTTATATATTTTTTTAAATATTTTAAATTATTAATTATTGTTATTTATAATATTTTTATGTAGTTTATAAATAGAAAAAAAGGTCTTAATTATAGTTAATTTTTAACTGAAATTATTGTAACGAAACGGAATTGAGAAAGGTCGTTTTACTCTCATGCACTTTTATATAGTATTTTAAACGTATATATGTATCCATATGTACATAAAAAATATTGTATAATTATAAATAGTAATGTGTCAATGAGCAAATATATATCTTTAAAATAAACTATTAAATAGAGTAAGAAAAAAAAATGTCCTTTATAAAGTTTGGTATCATAATAGTAATTTCGATCAAAATTAGAGTATTTTCAGACTCGTGTCTCTTATAAATATATAAATTTCATTTAAAAAATATCTGAAAATTTTATGCACAAGTTCCAAGTCAAACTTAAATGGTTTGACTATCAAAAAAATAAAATGTGTAACATAAATTGAGACACACGGAATAATTTTTTTAAAGAAAAAATATTAAATCTTTGAAAAGGGCTCAATATACAAGTCCATTTTGTGATATATATATATATATATATATATATATATATATATATATATA